TTGCCACAGCATCATTCGCTATTAGCTAACAAACAGCCTGGGAGGACAGCGCTGTCGGAGAAGCACTTGCTCTGAGCGCCAGAGGTGAGGGAGCAAATTTGCTTTCTAAGGAAGCCTAGACTTAGTCTGTTAGATTAGCAGTCAATATAGGACTCTGAGGAGAAAGATATCTTTCTGGGATATTTATTGCCTAAAGAAGCAGTAAGATCTCAGTAAATTCTGACTATTCGTCATCGTACAATGGCTCCTGCACAAAAAATATCAGACAAATGTAATCCCAAATTATAAACTAGGGATTATGTGATTAGTGTTGGCCCAACAAGAAACTTTTATTCTGCTGGCCAGACAGAACTGCAAAAATGCAACATCAGCGCTTAAATCTCAGACGCTTTGAAAAACCTACATCAAAGACTTCAGGGTCTTACAGCATCTCTGAATGGCCCTGAAGAGGGAAAATAAACAAGCTACATCTGCAAGTTTGAGATTTTAAATCTCGAGTAGAGTTTGGATCTTTTTGAATTCTGTGAGGAAAACTGAAAGGGTCCCTAACAGCCTTTCTTTCTCAGCATATTCTATTTAGTGTGATTGAATGGAAGGATAACATTAGGAAACCATTAGTATAAATTGATACAGCAGGTCTGCAAAGTAAATCTCTGCTTCTTAGTTAGGTGTTCTTTAACTACCAACCACTTACAGTATAGGCAGAACAGAACAAAATAGCCATATTTGCGTTTCTCGGCAGCATTCCTATATTGTCTGAAGCTTCTCCTCCACTGATATTATAGAAATCCACTACAATCAATCTAAATGATCATCTGTAAAGGTTTCAAATGAAGCAGGGTAAGAACACACTGTGAGGCGCTGAATTACATCAAAATAACACCCTCAGTGTCCCCTTCACTGCAAGCATTGCTAAACAGAAACAGGCACACGGATTCTACTTGTCAGGAATTACATTTTCTTGTCAGGGACAAACATTTCAAAGTAATGCAAATTTCGTTGTACATGTCTAATGACAATAAAGGTCTATTCTATTCTGTTCTATCCAAATCTATTTTGACATAGCGACGTGGTGTGATAAAGTATTTAGCCCTCTTCCTGGTTTGTTATTGTTTTATTTTACCAAACAAATTGTAATTTTACACAAAGACAACCTGAGTAATTCCAATCATGCTGTTTTTAAATGATTTTTTCATTAATTAGGGAAAAAAATTGTCCAAATCTACCTGGCCCTGTGTGGAAAAGTAATTGTCCCCTAACCCTAATAACTGGTTGTGCCACCCTTGGTAGCAAAAACTGCAATCAAGTGTTTTTATGATAACTGGTGATGAGTCTTTCACATCTTATTTGCAGAATTGTTTTAATTTAGCATGAATTGCCTGTTAAAGGTCGTGCCAAGTCCAGGCTTTGATTAGTCCACTTTAAAACCTTCATTTTGGTGTTTTTTGGGCAATTCAGATGTGGATGCCTGGTGTGTTTCACATCATCGTCCTGCGTAACCCAAGTGCTCTTAAATTTTCAGACAGTGAACTGAAGGCCGGACACATTGTAAGTGGTCCAGGTGGTAAAACAGCTAAGCAGGCCCAGACAATCACACTACCACCACCATGTTGGTATGATGTTCTATTTATGAAATCCTGGGTTAGTTTTACACCAGATGTAACGGGACACAAAAAGTTCAGCTTTTGTCACTGAATGTTTTTTTTCTGATGTGCTTCCCCTCATAAACAGGACGATTTGATTCATTTACTGCACAGCCACTATGGCCTAACCGCTGATTAGAGGAGTCCAGCTATGAAGCTGAGAGTTTTTCCTCTCATCATCTTGGTATTTTGAAAATGAATGTAATGAGCAAGGAGTGGCTTTGACTGATAAACTGCACGTCATCAGCTAACGGCTTGTGATTGACAAGTTGTTAGCCAATGAGCCAATCAGCTAACCCCGGATAATCCTCCCTTCTGATACTGACTGACTGGAAAAGCAGGTGCGCTGGTTTGACCAAGGGCTCTCGTTTCATTGTTGTAAACAGATGCTCTTGTACTTTTGATGCCATGTAAAGTAGGCGTGCTGAGAGGGAAAGTCAGAGAGCAAACAATAGATTAAAAGAAATACTTAAGACAACATGTGTGGCAGCGCCATTATCAATCAAAGCTCTCAGGGCACTCCCGGCCAAGCAGACATCAGGGTCAATTACGTAGTTGGCAGAGGTTCAGAGATAAATGCTATCATCTGCTACATTTGACCTCTGACCAGTATTAATCATGATTTCCATGAAGGATTAAACATTCGGTAGCAGAGCAACACAAAGGAAACTGGGCATGAACATACGGTGGATAAGAACCTATTATAGTGAATGCAAATCTGAGGGATCACCACAACACAGGAATAGATGAACCTCGCTGCATCTGAAGGCTTTCTTTTTGCTTTGTTAAGCAAGAACAAGAAATGTGCTCAACAATGCAAATTACTTATCCTTGCAATGTTTAACCAATTAATAAAATCCCCAGTAGCGTCAGCAATGTTAAGTGATTTAAGCCCAGAAAAAAAGAGATCTAAAGCCTGGCTATACTCAATCTATCTGCAGTCACTTCAGGCCTATGTAACTTACAAAAATGTGGATTTCTAAGCTGATGAATCCATGAATAAATTACACGTGAAAGACACTAATCCTGCAAACATGAATTCAGATAAGTTGTATTGCCACTTTTTCCTCTCACTGCACTTAAACATGACACTCCTTTTGGCTACATGCAGAGCTGGGAATACGTCATGGGGGGACACACCTGTTGGCGTTGCGTAACACTGGATCACCACCTCACTTGGCTCACTGTTGCTACTTGTGGAGGAGCTGGTTAGGCCTTTCAGAAAAAACAAAAAACCTCCCCATCTCTCTGTCTTTTTAAAACCTAAAGACTTCCAAACAGCAAACGCAGCTCATCTCATTGCTTCATCCTCCATCTTTTTTCTCTATTCTTTAATAGAGCGACAAAGCCCCGCCCACCTAATAACAGGCTGCTCCGCTACCTGGCTAGCTGAACACAGCAGCTGTTGTGTTTTTGTTATTTATGTGAGACGGTGCACATCCTGGGATGCGAGACAAATTTCACAAGTTTTCCCTGACAAAGTGAAATCAAATCAAATGTCACTCTTTTGCGCTGCATGGATCTACATAATTATTCCGTCAAATCTTCAGATCTTCCGATTATTAATGACTCGTGTTAGGATACACAGCCTATATGAATACAATTTGTACACTAGAAAACTCTCTCTGCTTTCCCAACTCTGAAATAGATTAATGAGTTCATTTGGTCTTGTCTTATTGACCACAGGCCACACACTCCCAATCCCCCCCTAGCCAATGATTTATCCTTATAAATGAACCAATCCGAATCTAGCATAAATTATCGAGCCGAACTCAATTACTCCGCTGTTACATCTCCCTTCAATATGTGACACGGAAAAACAGTTTGATACAGCAAGAAATGCGAGTAATCCATTTCAGAGGAGTTCTGACTGTTGGGCTATGAAGCTGTGTTCACACTCTGAAGAGCTAATCTGAATCACCATGGTTACAGATTATGTTTAGCAGTGAAAATCAGTACTTCTTAGAGAGCATTTTAAGACAATGAAAAAGTCAAAATAAGGTCACAAATGTTTTGGCTTTCAAGTTAGTATTAAGCCTACATTACTTTCTTTTCATGCAGGAAAACTGAAATTAATATCAACAGGAAAATGTGGGCAACTATAAGACTTTTTAGAACCTTTCTTCATTTTAATTCAAGGTTTAAAGAAATAAACTAAAAATAATAACCCAAAGGAACGCTGAGAAACTCACTGAAACGATGTGAAGCTGACGACGCCACTAACTGTAAAGCTAAAACAACGTGATGAGCAACAGCAGCTCCATATGCAAAAACAATGTGTGCATAATGTGAAAATATTAAATGTTCAAAGTTTCAAACAGCAGACTTCAGCCTGAAGGCCGGTGTAACGCAGCACAATGCGGGGGGGGTTGTTGTTCTTGTCTCTCATGTCTAGAAGTGAGGCAATTCTGTGGTTTTAACACTCAGCCCAACTGCTGTGCACTTGTTTCACCAGCGATATCATCTAACCCAGCGACTCTCGACTGGATTTTGTGCAAAGGCTCCAGTGTTTTATGAGAAAGACATACCCTATTCAGTGCACAATGAGCTATTCAGGTGCAGTGGCATTCTGGATAGCTCCAGGCCTCACCTCGCAAACGGAGGATTTGTAGGGGTAACATTTCACTTTCTCTTAGCTATGGGGAAAAGGTCAGTACTCCGGGGATGCTGGCTCCCTTTCCTGCCGCCGCTCATCCGTCTCAACAAATGCGGCTGATTACACAGTGATCCCACAGCAGGAGCGATGCGCCCACACACACACACACACACACACACACACACACACACACACACACACACACACACACACACACACACACACACACACACACACACACACACACACACACACACACTACGTCCTACATTCATAATCACAGCAAAATGGAGAGCTGAGTGCCTGACCTCTTACTTACTAATCTGCTTGATGAGATTCCATTAACTCGCACTGTCCTGGATGCTCAGAGCGTGTTTTATGTCTCTTCTTTTTACAGAAACTTCAACATCTAACTGACCTGTAGACACAGATGACAGCCAGGAGTGCTGAGCAGTTAAACTGATTTATGTTGCAAGCGGCCTCCTACGGCAGCTTGACTTTATTTAAACAGCAGTGTGGGTCACTTGGAGAGGTGATGAAATCTTTCATGTCTTAGTGTAAAGAAGACCAGTGTTATTCTCAAACACTAACATTCTTAGATGCACATGATTATCCTGCTGGCTCAGAGATGATGGGTTTCATTACATTAACTATTTTATAAATCCTGCATTCAATCAAATGGCTACAGCTTTCTAGTCCTCTCAGACCCGTTAACAGTCGGCTTTGCAGAGAGCGGGTGTGCTTAAAATCTGCCGACTTACGAAACATGGTGTTGAACTGCTGCGGGTTGAGGTTCCACTTCCCCCAGGGCGTCTTGTGGCCCTTGGACTGGGCATAGTGAGCGTGGTTGAACTCTGGCTCAGTCCCAAATGAATCCAGCACCCGCAACATGCACCTGTGGAAAAACAAAACAAAAACACACAAGTTTAGCTCAAGAAATAAATGCTGAAGTTTTTGTGTTAGCTTTTGAATGACACTATATTTAAATTTGGAGCTTTAAAAAGCTAAAAACAGTCTTTGTCATGTCAGCGCTTGAGACACATATCATCCATGTAAGAAAATGAAATCACAAATATAAATCCTCAGACTATGATACTGAGGTTTGTTCTGAAGGTGTGGCTGTGAGGGAACATCATGGCTGACTTAAAGGTCACAGTGTGGGATTAATTAGACCAAAAACCAGGGGAGGGAATTGTAAAGCACTTCCTGACCTTTAGTGAATGCACAGCACGGAGTTAATCTCCACAAACAGATATCTGCATATAAATATGGAGAATCTGTAGGAAAGAAACAGTTTTGGCCCTAGAAGCTTTCTGGTTTCCAGTTGTAGTGTGAGTCACGACTCAGCAGACTACACCTGCATGCAAGTAAACAGTCTGTGTGGAAAGCAAAAGAGGGGGGCTCACTGCTTTTATTACCTTCTTTTAAATGTATTTGCTTCAGTGTTCTCATTATAAACAATGCCTGGTACATGAAAGAAGAAGTGTTGGTTTAGATATCACGTATACATTATTTCAATATCGGGTAGCTACACAGAAGTTTCCAAAACAGCGATCATTGGTCCCAGAGGCTAAATCGAGTCAATGATACAGACTGTATAGAAAAGATGGATGTGGCCAATGTGATGTTATTCATTGGTTTTTAAGCCCGAGTTGGCATTTCAGCAAATGCCATGTCATTTATTTATTTATTTTTTTAGAGCTAAACATAAACATATTGGAGGCACTCAGCTTGACAAAGCTACTTGCTAATTCAGAGAAAGCTAACGGGTCAACCACGCGAGTAAAAATAGGACAGCAGCTTCCTCGTATCAACAAAAATGAACAAACAAAAACAAAAGCATTAAAAAAACAACAACTGGTGGCTACATGCTGACTGTATTGAATTTTTTCACATTCTATGACTGATTGTAACTTGTGGTGACTACATGGTTGCCCAGAGCTTGATAGCATTGCACACTTTCGCCACTTTTAATTGCGATTTCACAGGTTGCCTGAAAGGAAACAATCTTTCTGCAATCGCTCCAGAGACGTTTTTTTATGAATGCAGACATAATTCCAACATGTAACTATCAGTCCAGATGTAATTGTAATAGCCATGTGAATCTGAGTTAAATGTGAATTTCTGTCTATGCAGACAGCAACAGATATGTGATTGTTGATGATGTATCACAGTTAATTGTTATATTATCAGAAACATGTTGCATCTAATCGCAATTCAACGGCAGATTGAAAGCAGACTGACTCTGTCTTATAGGAACACTTATGTCACATTTAGTGACAGTGTTGGTATGCCAGACAATTTTGCAGGAAAAAAACAACTTAACTGAGAACTTAACTTTATATTAGGGCAGCACGGTTCTCCCCGTGTCCATGTGTGTTCTCTTTGGGTACTCTAGCTTCCTCACACAGTCCAAAGACACAGAGTTACTGGGGTTAGGTTAATTGGTATTTCTAAATTGCCCATAGGTGTGAATGTGAGTGCAAGTGGTATCTGTGTTAGCCCGGCAACAAACTGGTGTTACCGCAGTTACCGCAATACTAACAATAATGCAAAATGTTAAAAATTATAGTAACATTGCATTGTGGGGTATTTCCACCTCTATTATTTGGGTTCATTTTTCATTAGTTAGGCATAAAAAAATCATTGAAAAACATAAAAATTAATATCAAGCTGCTAATCTTGTCCCCACTGACTAAACCCCCCTTCCTCTTTAGACTGCTATGTTCTGGTGGATTTTCTCAGAGGTAACTAAAGTTAAGTGACTTTCACTTTTTGGTCATGGTACAAAACTCAGCATTAATAACTATGATAACAAGAAGCCAGGTGCATATATGGAAGACACACAACCACACACACACACACACAGACTTTGATTCAGTCACTGATTGCCTCTCCGCCCACCCAGACGCTGTGCAGCTGGCTGTGTGAACTGTGAAACACCCTGGGAGAGTGAGGAGGTTGGAAACAGATTCGCCAAGAGGAAACTTTAAAATGAAAGCAGCACAACAACATGCCCACATGCTATCTCTAGTCACTCCAGAGGAAAACAACCCTCATCCGTCCCTGGTAGATATACCCTTAACAGATGGGGTAGTGCTGCTGGAGCTGTAAAACGGTGTAAATATGGCTGTAGCGAGGCCCATGAGTTGTGGGCGTCATAATGTGGCAGGAGATGAGGCTGTTTAGCTGAAGAAGTATGTACTTGGTGATACTCGCTGCTTTATTTCAAGCTGGGCTATTATTGTTTTTGTTTTTTACAGTATGAGTCCGATTTCCCCATAAACACCAGCCAAATAAATAAATTATGATGATCGCTATAGTAAATGTCAGTTTCCTCTCATATCATGGTTATCTCAGATGCGACACAAACACATCCAACAAACACAGTCAGTGAAACATTTGGTCTTTAGCTGATCTATCTGACGGTCTGTTACAGGTCTGCACATGCCTGAAGCTAAACACAAGAGCTGAATGATAAACAGAGATATGAGTTAATGGTTTGTCTAATAAAAACGTGAAAATTGTAACACTCTTAACTAATTGTTATTATTTTGGGGTCCCACTGGCTGTGAACCATTAATGTTCCTTTATAATAACATAGGCTCAGTTCATCCTTTAGTTCACTGTATCCAGTAAATATTAGGCCATAAAGTAATCGCTATAACATTTCTGACATGCTAAACAAGCTACAAACTGACCTAGTAAGAAGAAAGACAACTAGTTTGATTTTAGTTTAATTTAGCTACCTGTGTTGAAGCTGTACACACAACATTACAAATGATATCAGGATAGAAAAACCAAAATGCAACGCTGTCGCCCAGTCTATGATTGTGTCCCTCGATGTTACACAGTGTTATCAGATTAGGATAACATTAGCAACCCAGTCCTGAGATAAGATTATGACCTGCAGCCAGTCTTGGTAAATTCTTGTAAGGTATATTTTGTTAGACTCAGCCTTTATTGTCTCACTCAACACAAAGTTGAGTTAGTTTGACTCAGTAAGGTCTACATTTCAAATGTTAACTGAAGTAAATGTGAAAAACCTGTTAAGTCTCGATTTAAAGACTAGATGTTTCCATAGATACCACAAATTCTTGACAGTGGCTGTGTGTGAACAATGCTACGATGGCACGCCAAAAATGTCAACGTCTATTACCTACATGTTTCTATTTAAGGACTTGCAAGTCATACCTCTGCACTGACACAGTAGAGAAGGTAAACAACAGCATGAGTCACAAAAAAAACAAACTTGCCTACAAAAAAAAAGTTGTCAAAACAATAGAAACGGCAAAATAAATTGAACAAAGGAAGAAACAGGAAATACTTGTATCAAGACTTGAGTCTTTTGTCCCATGTCTTTCACCTCAACCCCAAACAGTTGTGGCAGATGACTGCTGTTTCTTCCTGTTAAACGGGAGTTTTTCCTTCGCACTGTTGCCAGCTGCTTGCTAACAGCAGGTAGTCTGATCGCTGCGGTTTTTTCTTTATTATTGAAAGGTATTTACCTTACAACATAAAGTGCCTTGAAGCGACTATTGTTGTGTTTTGCTGCATTATAAATGAAATTGAATTAGATATTGTGCTTGAATAAACAGGCTGCTCCCTCGCCACAGGGCTCACTACAGCAGGTGGCTCTGCATGTCTAATTTGTCAGAGATTTAAGCTGGACTCCCTTCGTGACACAACCCCAGTGAGGAACCATGTCTCTAGCTGGAACTAAACCAGTGACCTGGAGCGAACGTGTTAACCACTAGATCCCTGGAAGCGTGTCTGATTAAGCAAGGCAATGAAAGTATTAAATTAAATTGAACGATAGGCAAACACCTGTTCTAGTTTTTACCAAGAAAATAACAACTTGGAGTATTTTCATTACAGAGTAGTATGAAACATAAAGACTGATGGCAGGAATAACAAAACAGCAATCACAAACAGCTTGGACAGACTTGTTTGCTTTGTCCCATCACACAAAAAAAAATATGTGTTATTATTAGAGTTTATTGCTTTTAAGAATTTGGGGTCTTAAATGAAAAACAAAAAACAAATCTGGCTTCTTCTGTACATCGGGTACCTCCCTGCATGAATATAAAGAAAATAAAAGGGATTGTGGGATTCTCAGGCCTTAAAAGGAAGAGATATTATTTCCCAGACTCTAAGGTTACACTTAGTGGAAAATAACTTTTCAGCCTGCACTCCAGGTCTTCTTTCACAAAAGTGCATATGAAGTATACAGTGACACAAAGCGCTTTGACATAACTGTTCAATAATGGTGGGAGAATTAACACCAATAACATCATCTGGACCTTAATTATACCTGAGGCTAAGCCAATTTCCTCAGGGCATAAAGTGAGCGGATGCAGGTTAAAGTGTTCAGTCTCACACAAACAAAACCTGGTGACAAGCAGGAGGAACCGACAGAGCTATTACTGCCCCAGAGTTATTGTTCCTTCTTTTTTCCTGTCAGTCGGCGCTGACAGGAGGCTCTTTTCAAAACAAACCGGGAAGGCCTAATCTACAGTCCTCAGTGGAGCAGTTGGGGAGACAGAATAGAATTGGTCACAACATCATGAACAACAGCTCCTTGGGCCTTTTGGGAAATTGTGGCAATGTATGAGCAGAAAATAGACTCTTTGTCACAACGAGTGCCAGACAAACCTCGACCCAGCGACATGTGCCTACGTGAGGGAAGCTGCTGGCAGCCACAGTTGGCAGCAGTGGTGTCCAGATTTTTACATGAGGAAAGAGAAATGATATGAGAGCCCTCGATAGCTATACATGATATTTAACTGATAGCTATAACAAAGTAAATGACATGAAATCTAGCTGTTTAATGTGACCGATTTTATTTTCTCATTAATATTAAGCCCGCTGAGCCAACACACAAGCATGCTGTTTTATGTCTTACTTTGGGATGATTGTTAGAAATCATAATATAAGTTAGCAAGCTAGCAACTTTTAAACTTCTGAAAGTAAATATTTAACTGTAATACATCAGACATCTCTACTTATGAAGGATCGGTACCGATATTCGGTGCCGTAATTGCACCGGTTCTGACATAAACGGTAGTAACCAGACCGAAAAGCAGCGCACATTCTGGTGCTTTATTTCAGTGTTTTTTTTCTTGAGATGTCATACACTTTGGATTCTAGCCAATCATTTTACCTTTCCAAGGATAGTAAGCGGGCCCAGGTATGTACGTTCTTTTAGAGCAGAGCTACAGATTAAAAATGCCCAAGGCGAAGTGGTCAAAAGTCTGGCTGTACTTCATAGCAAAAGATGCAAACTCAGCAGCCTGCAACAAGTGCTTTAAGGTGATACTGTGCAAAGGAGGTAACTCCTCGAATCTGAAGAAACACCTGCTGACGCATAGCGTTTTTTTAAAAGCCGAGAAATGCACCGTATTTGATAGCTTGCTGCAAGACCTCACACCGAGCACATCTACTGTGGGTGGGTTGCCTGTTATCGGACCCGAGTTAGCAACATCCCCCAAGAACCCGAAGAGGAGAGTCCTGGCCCCTAGCCCTGTCAGTGTAGCAGAAATGATGACGGATGATGATGGCAGCAGCAGCCGTTCTTTTCTGGGCGAGTAGTTTAATGTTGTTCGTGTGTAATTTACGTTGAGTAGGCTAACCACGTTATTACATTAATGCATGTAAGGTGAACTAGCAAACACTGTTGTAGTTACATGCGGCTGTCTTCTTGTTTGATGGCAGATACTCCCTTCATGTTGTATCAACAGAAAAGGCTAACTTGGTTATCATTTTGCAGAAAAAAGAGACTGCTAAAAATAAAAACATAAGAGGCTTTTGGAACATGTTTGTCTTCTCCATTCTTTAAGCACTGGTTCGAGCACTGTTTAAGCACCGGCACCGTTTCAAAAGTACCGGTTTGGCACCGGTATCAGATAAAACCTAAACGATACCCATCCCTACTTATGAATGATTTTTAGAAATCACAATATATTATTTAAGGACACAAGCTAGCAAGGCAGTAAGCTAGCAGCTTTTAAATTTGTACACTAAATATTCTACTGTAATACATGTTTTTCTCCAAGATTTCTAGTCGTGTTTGAAATAGTCTTACCATTCACAACATATAACACATATGTATACTCTGGAATGATTTTTTTTTTTTTTACAAATTATAATGCATTACTGGAAAACACTACTTAGGAAGCTAGCAAGATAGCAGCTTCTAAACTTCTGGAGCTTAGCAAGTCAAGAAATTTTAAAAGGAAATAATCTTCTTCCTTCTGGCACCTCCAAGATTATCAATCTGCCTAGGTGTACGCCAAAGGCAACCTCTAACTTGGAAGTGCCCAAAACTGCTGCAGTTCCTCTAATGTCCACTTGAGGTTGGTTAAAAGGCCCAGCTTTACTGGATTAAAAAGCATGTTTGCGACATGGTGGTGCAAAGCACTTCGGCCTTTGTAGCCAAGGATGGAACGAGCCATATGGATGTAAATCCTGGATCCAAATCCCACAGTGTTTACGTTCATGTAGAAACCTGACAGTCAACACAAGGTGATGTAGAAAATGAAGTTTAATGGCCTTCAAATGTAAAATACAAATATACTTACTGGTAGTGGACCCAGGAAGGCCCCAGAGTCTTCTTAAACTGGGTCAGACCCACGATGTCGATGTATATAAGCTCTACCACTTTATCGCCCTGCGTGGGGCAGCTGGATTTGTTTCCCATAACCTTTCGCATGATCCTGTAGAAAAAAGAAAAACAACAACTCTGATTCAGCAAATTGATCCACATGTCAAACTAGTCAGCAGGCAGCCACTGCATTTAATTTTACTAGGCAGGCCATTGATCAAAGCCAAGCACGTATACAACAGAGAAAGGAATCTGTCAAACTCAGGATTAAGGATTGTGATTTGGTTTGGAAATTTTGTCTTACCATCATCATCATCATCATCATTATAATAGAAAAAGACAAACAACTTTGTTTAGTCAGACTGCTGACAGTTCATAATGTGAGCTACTACAGGAGTTTTAAATAAGTTTACACTTTGTAAATAAGATTAATACTAATGTTAAAGGTGTTGGTTTGACTATACAGAGAATTATACCTATATAGCTGCCTTTTACTCAATTATTTATGAACGATCATCCTCCACACGAGTGTTCTTAACATCAGTCCACCTTAAATAGACAGTTTAATAATAATAATAATCTTACTCTTTGAGCTCATTGAGGGAAGCAGAGATGCGAATGTTGTGGCCCAGCAGGTACAATGTGGTTATGAGGTCACTCCACTGGACCAGCTCCCCCAGTGGGCCCCCACTGAAAGCATTTTCTGCAATCTTGAAGCCTGACTCCTTGGTCAGCAGACCAAGATGGACCAGGATCTGACGGAGGAGAAAATAGGAAAATAAAAAGTAAGTGCAGGAACTAATGTAGCGCAGCTTTTCATTTAGAAGATGAGAATACTTTTTAATGTTTGTGAATGTGGAATAAAAGGGCGATCATAAAGTTTATGAAAGACAGCAGTAGAGCAGGGCGATATGGCCAAAAATACTTATCACGATATATATTTGAAAATTTGCGATAACGATATAACTGACGATATAATTGATGCGAGACAAAATACAACTCCACAACATTACTAGCACAAAAACACAACCTTCCATTTATTTTCACTTAAACAAGAAGCTGGTTTTTATGTACATTAAAGCTTTATAAAAATGTAACAGTGCAAATGCAAATTCCTTGCTGAAAGTTTAACCAAAAGACATTTCCAGTAGAAATGGGCTGACATATCCTGAGCATAACCATGTATAATATCCACTGAAGTTAAAAAGAGGTGCTTTGCAACATTAAACTGCAGTGTGCAGTACGCATTTTTCGGACCATAAGGTGCACGGGATTATAAGGCACATTAAGCGAAACAAAGCAGTCAGATAAATCAAACTTTATTAAACTCATTCTTCTTGCTTCCTCCACTTCTGTACCATTGATTCATTAATGTTGAATTCTCTGGCAGCTGCTCTGTTCCCATGTTGTTGCAGTATATTAATGACTAACCTCATATTGTGGATGGATTATCTCAGTTGTTCTCCTGACTGAAGTTTGGCCCGTTTACAGCATCCTGCCATGCGATTGCATTTGTCTCTAACTATCAGGAACCTTAACGTTAACTTTTATAAGTGGAAAAGTGTTAGTGTTCGTCCTCCAGCTTCACTGTTTATGTTATGCTAACATAGCTGTGTCGCTAGCGATCACGTAGCACATCATTATATACCAGCTAGCCCAACTTCAGTAACCCTACAAATGTCACTGCTGTTTAGTTTCCTGTCTTCATTTATGTTGGAAGTGATAGCAGAGCTGTATGTTTGAATTTTTTCGGAAATCTCTCAGTCAGAACATGCAATATCATGCTTAGGTAACTAGCGAAACTAGCGAGCTAACTTCCGCTAGTTTCCTGCTAACTTCTAACTCCGTTAAATGTAATAAATTTTGTTTTCATGGATGCCTGGAAGTTAAACTTCATAGTTACACCTGGTAAAGCAGCAATGCTGATCATTTTATTAAAGATGAAAGAAGTTTTTAACTCTCAGTGATGCTGCAGTGTTCGTTTGACCAGAAGCATACGGAGTTTAGGACCCAGATTACTCCCACATTTAAGAGCATCTTAGTCCGACAAATACGACAATAACGACGGCCGCTTGCATGTTCTGCAAAAAAATGTGCTTTGTCGTGTATCTGACGGACAAACACCAAACCAGTTCCACATCACTGAAGTTGCACCATTTTTACAAACCAATTCTGGTTCATCTGTTTCACTCAACAATTGGCCATGTGCGTATGAAAACAAAGGCACTGCGCATGCGCGTGTTACTCATATTCTATCGCGATATTTCATTTTCCTATCGTTGCCTAACATTATACCGGTATTACCGTGAACGGTATAATATGGCCCAGCCCTAGACAGCAATGACTGAGCCATTTCTTTCTTTCTTGTTTTGACTGTTTTGAGCCACCGTAGCCCACAAGAAGAGTGGACAAATAAAAGACACGTTACTGGTTTCCTATCTAAAATAACTGGTTAGATTATTAAGAGTGCAAAATGTTTACAGTGCTCATTATAATAAGAGGTTTTGCTGTAAAAGCAGTTCTAGTTTTTCCTATGCTGACAGGTGAGCAGTGTCACATGCTGAGAAAACGCACACAACTTAAGTAAAACATGAACACACAGGATGGTTTTCAGCTGCCGAGCGGGAACATAGTGTTCCACAGTGGGAGCTGAAAGTAATAGAAGGCTTTGTTTGAAGTGACCAACACACATTTCACTGCTGACAGCGTGAATTCCTGAACAAATCAGAAGCTGAAATTATCACGAGAAACTGTTCTTTGTCTCATTAGAGACTGAACAGATTCAACAAAGTGGGTGGAAAAAAGCAACGGCCGGGTAAGATCGTGAGATTTCTTGTTTCTTGTACTCTTGAGTTTCACATGAAGGGGACGCTGCCTCACTTCAGCACCACGGTATCAAGGGAGCACGATGTGAATTATTCAGAAGGGCCAAGGGAAGTGTGCAGTTATTCAGAGCTGGGAGCAGCTTCTAGCTTGGGACACAATGGAATATCTGTGTCAGTCCTTTCCCAGCATCAGCTCTTCTCTGAGCAGAAGTGAGGCGGTCTACAAGTGTGTCAAAGTGTGTTTGGGTGTATATCGGTATTGGTATACATAAAGGTGGTGCATTCATTTCAACTGGCTGGTTGAAAGCTAAAAAAAAAAGCTGCATCCTGCTGACTTTTAGGTAGATAAATATTAACATTTCACTTATTCAGCTAGAATATTTTTCTGAAAAGCACCAGTCTTCCCTTTTAGCTGACTAAACTTGGGAGTTTCACTGAATACTTTGGTATTGTGCCTCCATCTTCTACATATAATACACAAACAGGACACTGAGCTCACAAAAGCTTTTCATCCATTACTCTGAACGCTGTCTAGAGGACCTTTCCTGGCAGAGAGGAAGTGACACATTTATGTCGGAGCCTGCAGTTACTCTTTACAAAACAACTGTAGCACAAAAAACAAACAGCTTCTTTTCGTCCCTGAAAACAAAACCTGAGTGGACAAAAGCTCCGGCAAACTACATCATCATCTGTCATGCCCACCTTCTTCTTCCGCCGCTTGCCCAGGTTCTGCTTTGCAGCCAGCGAGCGGATGGCGCTGACCCACGGCTCGGCCATCCGTTTGATTCTCAGCATCATCCAGCGGAACTCCTCCCGTTGTGACATCATCCGGTAAAGCTCCTCGAAACTGGTCCGGATCTCCGCCTGTGTGGAAACGTGGACACAAGTACAGCGACTGTAATCTGATAACGTGCGCGTGTTGGTCCACAGAAAACATGAATATCAACTTCTTTAAAATCTCTCATCAAGACAGTGATTATGTTCACTTTGTTATCTGCTTCACTTGTGTTTCTTCATGGCTGCTTGGTTCTCCTGCTGCAAGAAAATCCCAAAGCAATCTTTAAAATTTTATCTAATGTAATTCAGAATTTGCAATATTGCCTTCCAAGTTGCCAAAGGCTTGTTTTCTTGGAGTGAGCTCCACTAATACAAGATCCCCAGCTCAACCCCAGCACTGTGTAGCTACGATTAAAAGGTTTATCCAAAGTGACTGAGTCTCGCATTGTATCTCCTTGGATCGGCAGATGGATTAAACGGATGGAGACAGAAAGGCGGAGCTGGTCTGCGGAATAGGGGGGTGGATGAATGACTGGTGAATCTGGGCTTTAATGTGCCCTATTTGTCCTTTTTTTTTTTTTTTAAAAAGAAACAAAAATCTTATACAGTGAGTTATAAGTACATATAGTGAATTGAGAAAGCACTATACTGTAGTTATGGTTACGGGAACATCAGGTGCTGAAACATTTGGAGCGCCAAGTGCTCCCTGTTACAAACAAATGTCTAAAGGGAGAAGAGGAAGAAGGCTTAGCTGTGCAGGGTTTGATGATTCCCACAGAAGAGACATACAAAGCACAAAGAAGGATCACTGCTACTTTTTTTCTGGGGGCACAGATTTCAAGAGACGGGACATCGTCATCAACTAAATGTTTAATAAAAAGGTTGTGAAGCAAAGCGGCTCATGCTGTGAAACGTCTATCTGCATGTTAGTAATCTTGCCTCTGTTGTGAGACTGCTGACTAACTGCTAGTCAAGCTGAAGGATGGAAATAAACGTGAGGTCACAGACGGCCACGGAAAGGGAAATAGTGTAAACACATTCAAATATCACCCCGTCTCATCTGAATATGACGCTGAGCAGAGTAATGTGCTTTGTCACATCTCCCTCCGCTCTCGTCTTTCTTTCCCTTTTCCCTCTTAACCCTCAACCAGTTACAGCAGATGGCTGCCCCTCCCTGAGCCTGGATCTGCAGGAAGTTTCTTCCTGTTAGAAGCCAGTTTTTCCTTCCCACTGTCGCCAAGTGCTGGTTTTCTCCAGAACGCTGAAGGGTCTTTCCCTTCCAGTATAAAGTGCCTTCAGGTGATTGTTGTTATAATTAGGTGCGATATAAACAAACCTGAATATAATTTTTAGGAAAAGAAGTGAAGCTGTGAGTGAGGCGGCACTAGTGGGAGAAAGATAGAGTGCTAAGGAGAAACCACAGTGCCATTACTAGCTGCTAAGGTGGCTGAAACAAGGTTGCAGCGAGGCATTAGCATTCCTCATCACGACAGGAAATCGCTTGCACGGATTGAAGCTATTAAAATCTGTGCCTGAATTAAAAACTCCAAAGCCTGTCAAATGGCATGTCCCTGCTACTGATGGGTCAGTGCTGTTGATGCTTCCAGAGAGGGGGATGAAGAGCGCTTAATATCGATTCACCCAAAGCAGAGGAAAAGGCAGGGGGAGGGGGAAGATACAGTAGACTTTGTACAAGCCAGCAAGCAAGCTCTGTAAGTGGGATTTGACTGAGCTACCGCATTGGCACAGATGCAAGATCATTATTTCAGATTTGACCCATGGTTCCATCACTCCGGCTTTCGTCTTCTAGAGGCTAAACATACCTCGATAGCATAAGCTATCATAAGCTATCGAGGTATGTTTACAGTTCAGCTCAGCCCGTTTGCTCATTCGCTGGCTCGATTTTACTTTGATTGGTTGTAAAGGCAGCTTGAAAAGCAAACATTTTAAAATGTTAGCTATTGGTGGACAGTTTTTATTGTTATGAGACTTGCTTTCACCTGACTACCAGTTCTTAGTATTTTAATCTATATTACTGTCTGCTCTGCGGCTAACGCTAAGCAACTGATATACAGTGCTGAAGAGAAAAAAAGCATTTGCCTGCTTCCCGATTTCCTGTTTTTTGCATATGTATCACACTTATACATTTGACCACATGTGTGCTTAATTTTACTAGCCATTCATTTCAATAGAGCCTATCTGACAAAATGAGGTCAGCTAAAAGGAACAGATCATCAGTACTGGTTCAGTAACTTGCCTGAGAGTACTTCGGCAACCATGCTGGAGCAGCCAGCGATCAAACTGCCAACGTTCTGTTTAACCGATGACCTGCTCTACCTGCATACAGAAACCCCTTATTTCTTAATATGAAATATCCTATAAATGAAGCATAATGGAGTAGGTCTAAACATGTAAGGAAAATTAATCCTAATGATAAAACTTGCCATCACGCATACAAGTATCCATGAAATCCATTCAGTTAAATGGACCACAGCTATGGCATCTGTGTTGTAATGCGACACCCGAACAACCCCGGCATAACGGTGCCTAATAGATATAGGCCGACCAAGTAGATTTTTTTTAATAGTGAGCAACTGCAACTGGTTACTCTCACACAAGCCTATTTTTATAACAACACGAGGGGTTAGTAGCGAGGGGAGACTATTATCTCTCCTGTCTGAGCAGTAGCTCGTGATGTGAGAGCCTCTGAAAGGTTCATCTCGAAGGGCAGCTGAAGTAGTTCAACGGTCCATTGTGTTTTCAGTTTACAGTTAACAGGAGATGTGTGCTGTTTTTCTCTCACCTGGCCTCTCTGGTCCATTTCTTCATTCAGGGTCTTGGCTCGCCAGGGCAGACGAGGACACCAGTTCTCCACCTACGGAAGAAGCCCAAAACACCTGTTCAGTTTACAGCTTTGTTTTTTTTAACCTTTTATCAGACATCCACCGGAACCGTGACACACACACACACACACACACACACACACACACACACACACACACACACACACACAGAAATGTACATTAGCACAACTCTTCACTTTACTAGAGATGTAAATGGACCCTGCTGCTGTTCACTGTTGCTAAACTTGGCCTACTAAATGCCAAGAAGCAACTGCAGGAATCCTCTCAAGTTCATATATATGTGATTATATAACACTTTTCTTCAGCTCTTTGCATTAGACAGCAACTCAAGACAATTTAAAATACTCCTCTTACTTAGAAAGCATTTAATGGATTGGCTGTATGTTTCCAGCATCATTACTACTTTACATTCTCGACACGACGGTTGTGCTACTGTTCCTCCATTTTTAGAGGTAGAAGCTTTGGCCTTCAAGCTCAACTTCTTCAGGGAAAAAAAATTCCACTGTACATTTAAGCTATGGCCATTCCTGCCATTACAAAAGTAGTTTTCCTTAATTCTCCGTCTGCCTGTGTCACTTACTGCTTTCATCTGGCTTTTCACAGATTATACACCAGTGCTAAACTTTACTTCAACCATTTAAGCAAGCTTCCCCCTCGTCCCCACCAATTATTTATTTCATACATGAAACAAACTAATAACAAGAAGAAAAGCACTGGACCAAAAAGAAAATGAAAAATGCAAGAAACTATTATTTTGTCTGACTTTCTGTTAGAAACCACACGTCTCACAAGGTTCAGAGTGCATTCACACCCATTCAAACAGCATGTCCTTCAATAAACAAAGGGTTAAACAGCAGGTGGGTGTGGCTTCTGTGTTTACGCCAACAACTGTCTGAACATATGAAGCAGATACAACTGCTTCATATGCAGGTACGCTGGTGTGATCTGGGTGGTAAATTCTAGCTCGCAGATGAGTGGCTCCTGTTTGATGACATATATATGTTAACACCTCAGGGCAGGGATTTGGTCTTCTTCATCCAAAACAGCCACATCTTGCTGTACGCTGTGTTCGTGAGCCGCTGTTTACTTTTAATGATGTCTTCCTGTTTATTTTAGCTAGGGAGATATGTTCTAGTTTTTTGGTTTGGTACTTGATAATATATGAGGGCCATTGAAGGTTTAAAAATATTAATAAAAATAATGAATTAAGGGGGAAAAAAGCAAGAAAAACCCCATAAATGTAAAAGACTAATGGCCAAACTTGTGAGGACAAAAAACAAGACTTTATAAGGAAAAAAATCTTAAACTTAAAAAGGAAAATCCCTGTTTTCCAAGAACAAATTCACAAGCTTATGAGAAAAGATTCTAAAATTTAGAATTGTGTTTTAATCATGTAGATTTACGACTTGTTGGATGACTGTTTTTTTGGGTGCGTGTGCGTCCCATATGACCCTTATGGACCATTGATTTGTTTGTTGTTTTGGCCCACTTCAATCTCCTTTTTAACTCCTCCAGCTTTGTAAATTTACTTTCATACAAACACAACATATATCAACATATCAAGGAGTTGTCCCTGTGGCTGTTTGGGGAAGAGGACTGGTTTTCGTGCTGTGTCTCTGCCCTCCATAGACGAGGGAAAAGTACCCAACTGTTAATGCTAGAGCAACACACGGGTCTGTAGGTAGGTGAAGGTGGGACACAGCCACACAGCTGAGGATTTGCCTGATGCTGAACAACTGCCACTCTGACTGCAGTCTCCATATTCCATCCTGTTCGTACGCCTGATTTAAATCACTTCTTCTTTCTCAGCAATTGCTTGTGCAGTTCCTTCCTCTTCATCCGTTTGTACATACAGATGTTTATGGAGAAGTGAAGTTTAATTGTGTCTGTGAAGGTTCTCAGTCATCCAGGTCATCGTAGTCAAAGGAGCTTGGTGGAGAGATCCCTTCCCAGACGCCTTAACGCCCACTCACATCCTGGGCCATCTGACCTCAGGAATTCGCATGATAAGGGGGGGCCAGGTTCACAATGAACACACCCGAAACTCTGGCTGATTGGGACCCACGCCCAGTTTCCCACCTTGGCTCAGGCGATTAGAGGATTATCAGGGGGTCCTTTTGTCCCTCTGTGGGGGGTCACTCCCACTAGGTTTATATCTGGGACTCTCCACCATTTGACCTTAGAACTGAAGAAGCTTCTCGGATGAGAGGTGAAACGTCTTCAAGCAACTTAAAGAAGTCCAGACGCTTTTCTTTGCAAGCTCCTTTGAAGTTTAATTATGCATTTTGCTTGTCTTGGCAAAATTTGGCTCTGTACAAGTTGCGAGTGTTTACTGTCAATCAGCAACACACCACCATTAGCTAAACCCTGACCTTCTCCCGCTGACATCCATCCGGATGCGCTGCCCCTTTGCAAGGTTAATGCAGCGCTTGACACGTATGAATTATACATGGTAAAGGGTGTATGATCTGAGCTTGAATTTTTTTTTTCCTCTTAGCTAAGAAGAACTGTAACACTAGAGGTGAAGAGTGAAGGATGTTAGCTTAGCAGAGAGTCTTTATAAATTCTGACAAATATTTCTGTTTGCTTCCTGCTTCCATGAATAGAAAGACGAGGTTTCTCTCAAACCTAATGGATTCCACTAATGTCCATCTCGCTTCTATTCCCATACCGACCAAGCCAGCTTTCTGCCTTCTTTACCAGTCGACCGCTTTCAGCTCATATACAAAATTCATAAGAGGCTGCTGACCTCTCTGAATCTGAAATCCTACTTTTCCCAAAAATATAACGCCTCAAAACAAAACAAACATGGAAGAGCTCTCTAGTTGAAGCTCAATTTCCAACTTTAGAATTAGTTGATGAGACAAATTTAAGGAAAACTCGTCTGAGAGAAACGAAAGGCTCGCTGATCAAACGTAATCAGCTGCTGTGATCTGCGGAAGATCTTTGAAATGAGAAATCAGAGCGGAAGTTTAATGTGAAGCAAAGCTGGGGTTTTTTTAGGGGTTTTTTTTGGGGGGGGTGGGGGGGGGCAGACTTTAATTAGAATTAAGGAAAAGATTAGCTCTGTCGCTACAAAACGAGTACATGTCCGTGTTTGGGGCAAAGATAAATCATGCAAAAAATTGAAGGTCTGAAAGTGTCCCTTGAAGGAACTCGTCAATAATGAATAATCCCTCCACCGTGGCTTTTTCCCCCTATTTGCCGGGACTGAAGTGAAGTCATTCTGAATCTCTTTTCATATGCTGCAAACTCATCCCTTGAAGGAGTGCCTCGCACATTACCACATCACCCCCCTCCCCACTGAATCATCTCCTCGTTCTCCCTCACCGTCCTCCTCAACACACTAATTTGCTCTCATGAAAAATGAAATCCCCTTTTACCTCTACTTATTTTTAGCACTTCATTCTTTTGTGATCACTCTCAGTTTGCAGGAATGTTGTCAGGCCACTCTGGGTATGCAGTATCCATTTTTTACTGGTTGTCTGAGGTTTTTTGCAGCTCTTATCGTACTTATTGAATCCAAAGAGAACAAACCCAAAGCACAAACCAAAAATATACCGCAGAAAGAGACCATGCAAGCAGCGGGAAAATAGATCAAGCAACTGCAGGTTTCTGAAAAGAATGTAAGACTCTTCATTTTTCGAATATATGCAAAAAACAAGAATGTTTCATCACAACGTTCCTCTGCTTTTAAGGGAACCTGTTATGCGTTTCCTTATTTTATGCAATGCCAAGCAAATCCTATTTGATACATGAGCTTTGAGACCTCTACATCATTGTGATTTTTATGACTTTTTGAGACATATATACAATAATAGTAATAATACATATAGGGCTGGGCAATATGGCCTAAAATTCATATCGCGATATAATTTGAAGCACGTGCGGTAATGATATATATCGTGATATATTCTTTTCTTCTGTATAACGTATTTTACACACTATAAGGCACACTTAAAATCCTTTAATTTTCTCAAAAATCGAGAGTGTGCCTTATGTATGAATTCTGATTTTACTTACTGACTTCAAACTGATTTCTGCGTGCAGAAATCTGTTAAAAAATGTTTTAGTACAACTTTGGTAAGCCGCACTGCTTGATGAATTGTCAGAGCATTACGGCTGCCGTAGTGAGGAGCTTCGCGGAGTAATCTGGATCCAAAACGCCGTCTGCTTCAGGTCCCAAAGTCAAACGAACACTAAGAGTTAAAAACGGTCTAAATTCTTTCATCTTTAATAAAATCATCAGCGTTGCTGCTTTATCGGGTGTAACAATTAAGTTTAACATCCATGAAAACAGAATTTATTAAATTTAACGGAGTTAGAAGTTAGCAGGGAGTTAGCTTGCTAGTTTACACCTAAACATTTCATACCATGTTCTGACTGAGAGATTTTTGAAACTAATTCAAACGTACAGCTCTGCTACCACTTCCAACATAAATGCTGGAAACGTTTGTAGGGTTACTGAAGTTGGACTACCTGGTATATAATGTTGTGCTACGTGATTGCTAGCGACACAGCTATGTTAGCATAACATTAGCACAGTGAAGCTGGAGGATGAACGCCAACTTTTTTTTCGACTCGATAAAAGTGAACGTGAGGGATTCTGGTGGTCAGGGACAAATGCAATCGCATAGCAGGATGCTATACACGGGCCAAACTTCAGTCAGGAGAACAACTGAGATTATTCATCAACAATACGAGGTTGGTTATTAATATAGTGTAACAACATGGGAATAGAACAGCTGCGAGAGAATTCAACATTAATGAATCAATGTTACGGAAGTGGAGGAAGCGAAGTTTTTGGCTTTCCCCATATTTCAAAAGTGCTTCATCTCTTTGCTATGACTGTCGCCCGCCATAATTTGCAGATGATAATGGTTTTAGCTGCTGCGATGCTTTCGACCAAAACAGGCGCAGCTTGATGACATCATCAACATGCGCTATCGCGATAGAGGTACTTGAACAAATAAGCCTTTGATTTTATATATTTCAGTTACATTTTACAAAAAAATGATTGCTTCATGTTTACTGAGGTTGAAAAATCATTTTTAGTGCCGTTTCAGATGGGAAGAACTGGGGGGGGTTGTGCCATGAGCCAATGTAAACTAAATAAGGATTATTTTGATCTGTCAATCATGCCAAGCTATGCTGGTACAGTCCAATAATAAAAACAGAAGGCTGGAAATAGGTTCACGTATTTTTTAAAGACAGGAAAATGAGTAACTAATTTATCATTTTATATAGTTGGTAGAAAAGCACTGCATTTAAAGGAAAACTCTTTTTATTTACCCAGGTAACAATCTCTTGGGCGATGAGGAAATGAAACAATTATGATTACAGTATGCAGCTCATATGCATCTACTTCAACTTTAAAACTGACCAAAATTAACACAAGAAACCAGTTAAAACAATTACACCATGTTTAGCAGCGTATTCATTTAAAACTGTTCTGCTTGGTGGACAAACATTTATAAAATAATATGAGGATGAAGGTGATTTCTACTCATTTCTGCTTTTTACATCTGAAGGTAGGCAGATTAAAAGAAACCAGTAAAGGAGACAGATATATATAAAAGCCAACTAATGAGAAAACATGCAGACACACAGAGACGGACACTTAGCAGCATATAGAGAACAGTGGCGTATCTGAGGTCCAATGGTGTATCTGCCATCAATAAACACAAAGCCTGTATATAAATGGTAAACAGTAACCAGCTTGTTAAGATGCTGGTCAGGCGCTCATACACCAGTGCTGCTTTTGCCGTGTTGATTTTGTACCACATGAAAAGTAATCATGACGATGTAATACAATCAGTCTTTTTTATCTACATTTATTAACACAAAAAAGAAGGATTTACCTCGCTGAGGTAGATGAAGAAGGAGCAGGTGGATCCATCCACGCCGTAGTTGGCGTAGCAGCCGTCAGAGCGCCACATCTCCTTCATCCACTGAGAAAGAGGAGAAGATAAATGTGAGACGGGCATACTGACCCAACATAAACTTTGATGTCACACGTATATTGTAAGAGCCACAGACTGTATATAAAAGACCTCCACTGCTGAAACTACAGTGATCGTATCTGAATGAGAGGGTGATATGTTTGAGAGCAGCCTTACTAACTTTGTGGCAACTAGGGCTGCCACGATTAGTCGACTAGTCACGATTACGTCGACTATCAAAATCGTCGACGACTGATTTAATAGTTGACGAGTCGTTTGAAGCTTTGTAAGATCACAAAAGACGCAGGAATAAGTAGTAGGATTTAAGAGTGTAATAACAGACTGAAACAGAAGATGGCAGCACTGCATGTACAAGGATGCCAGGTGCCGTTAAACCCCGAAGAAGTAGCTGTGTCCCAGAATTCATAGCGCAGCCCAGCTCAGTTTCCAACAATGGCGGCAGCTAGTTAGTCTTAATATTACTTTTATTATTCTTTCTGGGTCACAAAATAAACGTTTAGCATATTTTCAGGCGAGAATACTTTCAAAAGCGCTCCGACTTTTTCAGAGACGTCTGTCACCCACTAGCTCGATAGCTAGCCGGGGGCAAGGCTCACTAGAGCCTGTGAGAACGCCGGACTCCCGGCAAATCGTCTTCAAACCCACCGCCGTCTTTCGCTACTCAGGTTAAACATATATAAGTGACTTAGATAACTTAAAAATGTTATGCTGGGCTTTTTTTTTTTAGTATTTTATTTGTTCCTGAGTAAATCGGTTTGGCTGAGATTAAAGTTATAGTTTTTACACAGCTGAATAAACGTCAAGCAGACAACTGATTATCAGAAGTGTGAGATGCTCGAGAATATACTCCGGTGTCCTGTTATATTTTAGATAGCAAGGAGTTTATTAAACTTTACCGAAACAATCTGCAAATTTCATTAAAATTGAATAAACTATCATCTTGTCTTTATTTTTAGTTAGCACCTTAAACACTTAAAGCTGTAAGCTAATGATAGTTATATAAGAGCAGATGCATGCTGGTGCAATAAGTTTTACGTCCAGTGGATGATGATCTGATTAGTCGACTAATCGCAAAAATAATCGGTGACTAGTCGACTATCAAAATAATCGTTTGTGGCAGCCCTAGTGGCAACCTTCATGTGTGACTGAGTGGAAATCCTTCAATGTGAAAATGTCATTCTTCACTGAAATGGAAGAATGTAGAATGTCCTCAATAAAATGTGTGGAAAGCCGGGATTGATGGAGACTCTGGATGCGGACTGCGATGAGAAACTCTTCTTCTAATTTGATGTCCGGGGGGCAGATTTCTGTGGCACTGGCATTTCTGTGGAAGTGGAAGGGCTGCTGAGCTGAGATGTGGACTGACAGCTATCCTGCTCGTAGGCTCCAATACGTCATGCATGGTGATTTGCAGTAACCTAAGGGAGCAGCGCACTGGCAAACAGAAAATCAACTATTCAAAGCGCTTCATAGTTGGGAAAACTGGCAGATGGGCTCGGAGTCGTTTGGAAGGCAAATGCATAGAGATTGCGTTACTTTAAACAATGACCAAAAAGAGTTCTGTGAGTAGGAGAAAATGTATTTTTCAGATGTTTTACTCGTGTGAAATGCCAGTTTACTGAATTTTGATCCCTTTTCTGAAAGGAAAAAGGAGTTCATGTGCAGCACTCGTGTAGATGGTGTATGTGTAAGGAAAGCTTTAGCATTTCCTCAGGCCAAGTTGGAAATTCTAACAGTACAAATGGAAGATTAGGAGTGGCTGAGCAGATGGTGTGTATGATAGTCCCCCATCAGCTTGAGGGACACAGACTCGCCAACACACAGACAAAAAACCAAACAAGACAATGGACAAGCATTGTCTTGTTTTACATAACACAGCATGTGTTATGTGTTTTATTTGGGTGTATGCACCTGTGTCTGCCAGTACCCGTCTGCCCCAGAATTAAACCTGGCTGTCATCTGCTCATCCGGCCTGCAGGTACTGTACAGCAGTGTCATGTAGGAGTTTTGGGAAGCATGCATTCACAACAACAGTGATGTGTTAGTTGTTTAAAAGTGAAGGCAGCAGTGTGCCATCACAGACTGAATTAACTAGATAGAAAGCACTTTCTTATTCCCAGCTCCATCTCTTCAATCTCAGACTGTACTAGAGTAGCTATGCATGAGTTCTGCTTCGAAATAATCCTTTTTTGCTTTATGATGGACTTTGGTCCAGCCCCCTCATTTCATCCACTGTTTAAAACAAGTCATTTAAACAAACTTTCTTCTGATTGGTTGCCACTTGCAAACAGGTCTGAACAGCAGGTGGGTGGGGGTAAATGTGCTCAGGTCGGGCTGAGTGTCTGAGATGACCATATTAGGGATATCATCTCTTGGTGTTGTCATACAGAGTCAAGAGTGAACAAAAATAGTCAAACTGTGTGACGTCTGAGCCAAAAGACTTCACACACCTCACAGCTTACTCACACATTGTTGTGTTCCTAAAACCATCATGAACCATCTTTGCTCTGCGGCAGGGCCCATTATCCCCCTGAAAGATCATGGATTACCGTTTCCATAATAGGGACTGTCTTCTATCAGAACCGCCGTTAGGGTTTTTTTTTTAGCAATTTGAGCGACAGTAACTCGTCTGCTTGATCCGACCATGACCCTGTCAGTTTTTCACAACTTTTCCTTCCTTGGACCACTTTTGATAGATACTGACCATTTCTTACTGGGAACACCCCACAAAAGCTGCAGATTTTGAGACCTGGTCGTCTACCCATCACAGTTTGGCTCCTTGTCAAACTGGCTCAAATGCTTACAGTTGCCCATTGTTTGTGCTTCTAACACTCCCTAATACATCGCCCCCATGAACAGGTGCTATGATGAAGAGATAATCAGTTATTCATGTCACCTGTCAGTCATAATGTTATGCCCGGTATCTAAACACACTGTATATACGTCATATAAGATAACATATAAATTAGCTTGTGCAAAGGATTTAAGACAAAGATGAACTTCACTGCATAACATCCTGAGTTCAAACTAAAACTTGTTATGTGTCTGAAGTCGTTGGACGCCTTGGAAAATAATATTTAGCTGTCCTGTGTACAACAGATAATTGACTAATTAACCGATTTAATTGCACTCAGTCACCAAAAAAATGCAAAGAACTCAGCTTATCAGGCTTTAGCTTCACTGACTGTGCAGGCAAGATAATTAGGTTCACACCAGATGAAAAGCATCCTCCTTCAGGACTTTAGGGGCTCTGCACTTTTGTAATAAGAGATCTTATTACGACTACATATATGCACTGAGTAATTTAATGCAAACAACTATTAAAAAAACATTCATTAATCATTCACAATTATTCGAAATACGAGCCGGTGATGCTCTTTTAAATCTGTGTGGGTGTTTCCAGCTTCAAGCTGCATTGCAGATTTTTCCTGTAATAAAAATGCAGAGCAACAAAAGTGTTTCCCAGACCTGAGTTGACCTGAGTAACAGTTATCCCAGTCTATCTTGTGATCCAGGCAAATTTACAGAAACAGGCTCTGAGGTATGTTTTCTCTCCTTTTGTTAGCGAGTCAGAAGCGTTACCTCGTTAACAGCAACGTGTTTATAACATATGACAGATTAAAAACGTAGAGCACAAACTACAAGGCTCATTATATATGAGATGACTGATGTTGTGTGGTGCTGAAAAGAAGCTGAGGGAATCGGTTGCGATCGGTGTGACATGTGGGTTACATAAATGGTTCTTCAGTGCATCACCATTTCAATCAAAACAGCATCATTACTAACTGACCTCAAATACCTGGGCCACCCATAAATTAACACACAGGTAGGTATGCAGAATGTAACCTGTGCCTCTTAAGGCCATGATCTGGCAGGAAACACAGAGTATTCACAGGAATACTCCACAGGCTACTTTTAAATAATAATAAAAAGTACTACAGGAACATTAATAAAGATTACGTAGTTTTTGTGCTGATGAAAATAAGGCGTGATGATGGTGTGCATGTTAATTAATGTCCAACCTAACAAACTTCAGACCTGCAGCTCAGAGTTTTATTGGCCCTAAAATTACACCTTTTATTTTTATATTTTGAATATTAATGCAATTTAATAAACTAATTAACGCCCTTGCATCAACTCTTTTTGTCCACTGTCCATGTAAAAGCTATAAGCCAGATGCTGGTTATGTTTTGTAGATTACACTGTCATTTGTTTTCTTTTCTGTTCGCTATGAATTTCTGCAGGCAGTTCTCCTTTCAGTAACTCGTCTTTCACATGTTTCAAACCTCCTTTTCAAAGCTGTGCTCAGAGAGTGGGATGGAGAGGCCTGTTTTTAATGTATGTTTGCATGTTTGATTCACCTTGAGCTTGCCCTCGCAGTGAGGGAAACCATCCAAAGGCGGCAGCTCGCACTTCTCCTGGGCTCCGTTTAGGAGGTCTGGATAAAGAGAAAGAGAGAGAAACTAAATCAATAAGGTCGAGTCAGTCAGCTCCAGAATTCTTTATCTGTCTGCGTGGGGTTTTTTGTTTTGTTTTACTGGATACATCACTATTACAGTGGATATAATAGAGACACAAATATTAACATCTGCAGTTCACACTGATGGTCTGAATTGTGAGGGGAAATGAAGCATGTGTGGAGTACACAAGGCCCACACACAACCGTGTCACACATTTATCTTTCTAGCTCCAATCACACTGTCAACACCTTCTTTATTTCCCCTTCTGTTGATTGCTGACTAGTTTACATTATAATACTTACAATAAACATGTACTATGTAGGTCATTAGGGCTATTGTGTGCGACTGCCTACATTCTGAATGACCTATCAGATGTCTTTACAACACACAAAGAATTTTAAATGCAAACACGTGAATACAGAATCTGTTTTTATTTTTGATCTTGTTGATGTTTATCCACTACTTCTTATCCTTAGGCTGTAATAACTGGCAATGCAACAATTTCTGCTACTGCTATTCCGCAGAACACGATGGTAACTGTGACGATACAACTTTAAACGGATGCTAAGTGATACAAGAAAGAAAGCAGTAAAGATACAAAAGAGTGTAGGAATTGTTTAGATGTGATGCTCCATGGACAGCAAGCATCATATAATAAGGAAGCAATAACAAACAATGTTTAAATTCAAAAAGCTTTGCTTTGGTTAAATGTCACCTCTTGTGCTTCTCCTTATTTGCTGTCACATACAGTAGTTAACAATCATTAAACCTGCCCAAAATGAGGTGGGTGTGTGAAAAACTCCCTTTTAACAGAAAGAAACATCCAGCAGGACCAGGCTCGGGGAGGGGCAAACATCTGCTACGACCTGCTGGCGGTGTGGCGAGGGAGAAGACACAGGGGCAATGGCAATTTTATTTATACAACACTGAATCCTCCAGCCTACATGTCAAAGCATCCTTGGGCAACATGCTGAACCCTTGAGCTGCCCCGTCTTAAGGTGATTACAAAGACAGGACTGCAGAATGTGTGTGACTTTGTGAGTGAAGCTTGTGGTAACAAGCCAGTAACCAGCTGTTCAAGCCTTTTCTGTACAAAAGGTGGCCAATCAGAAGAAAGATGGCTGAAAGTGAGCTTGTTTCAAGCTGAGTGTCTGCAACAAGGCCCAGGATAACAAACTAGGATTATTATGAACCATGGTCTATGCAAAGGTACCTTTGTAGAGTCCAATGTAAACATCAAACTGGAAAGGAGGGCCCACAAAGGTACTTTAAAGTTATTTTCTGAAAATCGAAGACAACAGCATCTGTTTGACGACTCGAGAGCTTCGTCTTTGTGTCTGTAATTTCAAAGTAGGAACTCATCACATCGTTTCATTTGAAATTGATTAAGACAGACCAGCGAATAAGAAAAATACCTGAAAGTGCTTTGAGGCTGTGCGTTAAAAGAATTTGCCACAACATGAAGTTGTACTCGCTCCTGCTCCAAATAAAACAAGAGATCACAAGGGTTGATTTTTACTTTAACTAAACTGGAAGTTTTGCACAAGTATTTATGCCCATGACATGAGTCATCAGACAATGTGACAAGAATTGCATTAGACCTATTGCGCAGTGTGAAATGAAATAAAATTACACAATCATCCCAGTGCAGAACACTCTCAGCACTTTATGTCTGGATGTCTTTTGAATTTGCAAATGGAGACTGGCCATTACCCTGCGGTCAGGGATGATGGTCATCCGATAGCATCACCTTCGGCTCTGTAGTCTTAACTCCATAAAAACGAAAAACCACACAAGGGCAAGAGCTGCACCAGCTGAAGCTGCAGTGATGCAAACAGTAGAAGAATAAAAACCAGAAGCTGCAGTTGGAGGAGAGAGCTCCTGTGAGATCTCCTCCACACTGATTTGAATGTCCCTGCAGGATTAACGTGCATGGCCCGCACGGCTCCCAGTCTTATAATCATCTTTTCTGATATCGTCATTCAGAGTCATCATCCGCCCTGACCTTTAGTGCCAGGATATAAATAATGGAAGGCAAATGGATAAAAAGCTCAGAGGTGCATGCCAGGCTGACGTAATGAGTTTAAACTTGATATCAATACTGGAAAATATTTATTAAAATACAGCAAAGAAGTCAAATCTCAAAAAAGTTAACAATCAGCAATCGTATGGTCACAAGAAAATCAAACCTGTTTGTGCAAACACAAAGATGGAAATGAAAAAGACAAAGTAGCACAGAAGTGCAATGTTTGATCTGGACACAAGTGATGGAGGACCATCTGGTAGAACTTTGGCAAGCCTTTTCGGTGTGTGTGTGTGTGTGTGTGTGTGTGTGTGTGTGTGTGTGTGTGTGTGTGTGTGTGTGTGTGTGTGTGTGTGTGTGTGTGTGTGTGTAAGACAGAGAGGGAGAGCAAGAGACAGATTTTGTGTTATAAAATCTGTCTCTTGCACTGTGCATCCATACCACTTCATGTTGTGGACGCACAGTGTGAGCACTCAGGTTGCATCAGAGCATGGGGCTGTATAGTGTGAGACCCTGCATCGTGACCTACGAACTTCTAACCCCTGCTATTCAACCGTATAGTTTGAGCAGGAGCTGAATATAGGACTGAGAAAAAAAAATCGCAGTGTGTGCCCAGCTTAAGCAGATCTGACCAATAAGACTGTGGCATTTGATAACAAGTGCACTCATAGGTAAAAACATGTCACAGTAATGAATGTATAAATAGTAAAATAATGCTATTTTACCTCGACACACAGCAAGATGCTAGTGTGGGTCAATTGGCTCATCATTGTTTGATGTCAACTTCAAGTCCCACCCCTTAGTTATGCTGTATTAAAATAAAGTATAAAGTAATTATAATAAAGATAATAATTATAACCCAGAGCGCTCCCTGACAAATACTGAACTGGTAACGATATACAGTAACTATACTCAGGTAGAAGTGAAATTGAAACTACATATTTTCATGTCAAAATGTTTGTCTTACTTTCACCATAACAGTCATGGAATAAACCTTTTTCATTGACAGATTTCCTTTAGCTTCTTTTCTTGCAATGTTGTGCTGGGAAAAACTATACAAAGTAAAAACTGACAAGATTACTCTGGCATCCAAACCAGTTTACTATCCTGTCAAATCCTGACTTGAAATAAAAGCCACAGATGAGTCACTTGACTCAAAGTCCCTTCTCCTCAGTACTGTGGTTCATCAATGTCAAACTTTAACTTGGGTAATCTACACACACACAAAAATAACAACACGATCAATGCTGTACAGTAGCAGTAGCTGCAATCATTTGCAGTGGAACAGATTTAACACTCACACAGTTTAGGACAGCACAACACAATCACATACAATAAATATCATTTTCAACATCCATCGATGTTGAAGTTCATCATCAGCCAATGATAGCCTTGATTTGATTGATTGACAGATTGACAGACACTCAGCCTTCAAGAAGCTTAAAAGAAGAAATACCTGATTGTAGAGCTGGGCGATAGAATGATAACGATATGTATCGCGATATAACTTTTTCTCGATAGAAAAATTTAACTATCGCGATAGACCTCGCCGCTCTTGTCCTCTTAAAAAAGAAAAAAGAAAAAAAAGAGCAGCCAATCCAAATTAAGTAGCGCAGAGCCGAACCAATCACAGCCGCAGCGTCACGTCACGTGACTTGTTACGTACAGCACAAGTGCCAAGCCGCACATGTGCATTTGTTTGGGAAGCAGCCAGCCACCGTACCGCCCGGGTAATGGAGGAAATGAGTGTGCCAACTAGAAAAATCAACCGAGCGTGACCGAAGAGAAAACAGATGATGGTTCCAATGCCGGAGAGATTGTCGAACGGAAGAGCCATAGAAGTTCCGTAGTGTGAAGGTATTTCGGCTATTTCAAGTCTGACAAAAAACAGAGTAGCGTGCACTGGAAATTGTGCCGAAAGCAAGTCTGGAAATACAATAAACTGGTGCATGCGCTACGTACACACGTACCCGGGTATTTTTGAAAACGCAGATTTTTCTATCCGTTTGCACCTTTCGTCCACACGTAAGCGGCGTTTTTGGTCACTGAAAACGAAGATTTTTGAAAACTCCGTTTTTGCATTTACGTGTGGACTAGAAAAACGGAGAAAACGCAGCATCAAAGGTGTGCGCATTTTTTGACGTCACACTGTGCGCCACGTTATTGTTTCGGTGAAATGAATTTCTACAATACTGTTACTGTTAATTCTACTCTCTGCAGTGTTTAAATGCTTACATATACACACAGTTACTGTCCCTCCACACATACGACTCGGTTCTGCTTCTATGCCCCAGCTTTGTTTACTTTTTCCCACCGAGGCTTCTAGACTTCTGATTGGCCAACATTTCTGCACGGTTAGGAATCTAGCGCCACCTGCTGCTTTGGCATGTTCATAGCAGCGTTTTCCTTCATTTCTGCCTTTATGTGTGGACGGGATTATTTTTTAAAATGAAAACGGAAAATCTTCGTTTTCAAAAATACCCGTGTACGTGTGGACGTAGCCTCAGTCTCTGACTGGAAGCACTAATTCGTCATTCGGCTTTTGTCAGACTAAAGTAACTGTTAAAACTGTTTGAAAAGCTCAGCTATACAAGGAGAGATTGAGAATTTCCTTTTAGTTCTCAGTTTATTTGATATTGACAAAAGTTAGTCAGTTTTGTCTGTTCTTCTGTAAAACAAACTAAGATTTATTTTTAGAATTAATATTTTGTTTCTAAGTGGAATTGACAATTTAGTAGCCTGTTTCGTTTGTTCTATTTTGAAACTTAAACGCTTTAGCGGCTGCCTTTTGTGTAGTTTGCAATATTTGCCTTTATTTATCTGAAAAAGTCTCATGTTCCTTAAGTACATCTACCCTGTTGACTTATGGGAAATAAATATTTAAATCAAAACAAGCTGCTGATTATTTCACATTTTACTTGTGAGCAACGGCACATTTAAATCTTACAAATATAG